TATACAGTATATATATATTACCTTATAAGGTAATATAATACACTTGTGTTTACTAATTAAATTAAATCTCTGTGCACTCAAAAATAGTGGTTTATCCCTTTCAGACTAGACTTCTTTTTATGCAGCTACATCTGAACAACAGTCCACTGAATTTCATCATGTAAGTTCGAACTCCAAATTTGCTCTCACAGGAAAAGATGAGTAACTTCAGCAGACTGTGAAATCATTAACAACAGATGCTCATCAAAATATCATCCATGACACACAGTTGTTGGGCATAGTTTGCGCAGTCGATGACAAACATTACTTGGTGTATATTATAACTTTATATAAGTGACAATTTCTGGTGTCTAAAATATGGTTTTGACCGTTTTAGGCCTACCTTTTAAATGTATTTGTTTAATTTCAAATCGAACATTATTTTATCTGTATTCATAATGCCAGCTGGAGTAAGTCAATATGATTTAGCTTGTAGCCTATTTTTTGCATGACACGTTCTGACTTGAGCCGAACCAAAGTCCCTTGTCGTATTTTCATAGTTTGTAGTTCGCAATCATGAAACTATATTGCCCAGAATTCTTGTAGATTATCCTTGACGTTCATTGGCTGCGCAAAAGACACCCCCTCGTAAATGTTCCAGGCGAACTGCATGTCAAGTTTAAGCCAGCCGCTACATACGCAGATAATGTCCCCATTTCAACACAGACTAACGTTTTTGCTTTGACGATGAACTGCAGCACATTTAGACGCCTTATCTTAGGAGCACAGACCGCGGCTGAGGCCTGCACAAAGCGGGCAGTTCAACAGACATGTGGGAGATACAGATTGTGTCGATGGTATTCTGGTGTCACTCATGAAGAGAAAAGGCTGGAGCAGGTGTGTTTCCTTACACTTTTTACACTTACACTTTGACCTGCCACTACTGCACAGGTACGAGATCATGAAGCGCTTTAAAGTCACGTGATGACTAATGCTTTGGTGCAAGGTTTAAAACTCTTGCATAAACATAACATTTTAAATGGCTAATGTTGTTTGAATGCTGTCTGTGTTCATGTAACGTGTTTTGCATTTATTGGTTGTGTTGTGTTGATGTATGATTGTGGCCTGTTTAACTTTATGTGATAACTTTATATGATTCTTAAAATGTATATATATATATATACACACACACACACACACATATATGTATGTATGTATGTATGTATACACACACACAAACACACACACACACACATATATATATATATATATATACATACATATACATACATACATATACTGTATATATACATATATAATGGGAAATCTCTAGTATATAAGTGGTTTCATTTATGCTTCATGCTGAACGTAACTGTTTTAAAGTGTGACAAATTATAAATGTTTCTTTCTTACAACAGTTGGGTCATAAGACTTTCACTGAAGTACCAAACCAGACAAATCAGTAATGGATGTCACGCTCTATAACATGACAAGCCGTTATGCTTACTGTGAAATCTCTCAACATCAAAGTGCTTCCCCCAAACTGGGCAATAGCCTACAAAACTAAGTAAATTACATCTAAATATAGTATTTGTACCATATAACTTTATATGATTCTTTGTACTTGAGATATATAGGGTCATTCCGTGTCAAATCAACCAAATTTCAAAAACTTCCCCAGCTCAATTTTTTGATTTTGCTGATATTTTTTCTGAAGAAAGGCAGACATGTATAGTGATGAAAGCCAACATATTACATGTCATGGATGAATACTGATTGAGTAATCCACTGTTTTGTAGAGGGGGGTCAAAATGGCAATTTTCACCTGAGATTCAGAGCCAAATTACAAGGGGGTAAAAACGACTTCAGAAAGATGGCAGCATCATAATGTTATTTTTTTTACACAGAGATTGGTAGGTCTGTTAGTAAAATCTGTTCACTTTAGAAGTCTTCATTGTATTATGTGCCCAATGGTGACCATTCAAAAATAGGGAAACAAAACTTTTCAAGTTTTTTCTCCAAAGTTTGCATGCCTGTAACTCAAGAAGTTTTAAAGATATCTTAATGCCCTTTTAGATATTGGGTCTTAACAAACTTTACTTTTGGCATCTTCATTTTTAAGGCCCTATATTGTTCAATTCCAGAGATATTGGAATTTCAATATTCCATATATATGGAAAAATAATATTTCAATATGGCTCCAAGAGTAAATTGTTAAAATGCACATATTTTCAGTGGTCAAAAACCAAATGTGGGTCAATTTGCAAAAATATGATACTTCTTTCACTTAAAAGAGGAATGTCTAAAGAACAAATAATGTTGAAACTAGAGATGTATCTCGTTTTCTTCTGTCGAAGCAACTGCATTGAACATACCTGTCTGAGTGCCATAAATATTCTTTTTCCAAAGTTTGAATGCCTATAACTCATGAAGTATTAAATATATCGCAAGATAATTTTAGGTTTTTAATAAACTTTTCTTTTGAAATGTTCATTTTCAAGGCCTTACATTACTCAGTTCCAGATATATGGGGATCTCAATGAGGCTCCATTTTCAGATTGTTGAATATTACCTATTTTTGGTGGCTGAAAAGCAAATGTTGGTCACTGTGTATACAGCTGATTCTTATTGTATTTAAAGCAGAATGTCTGAAGAATAAGTAATGTTGAAACTAGGAATGCATCTTGTTTCCCTCTATCAAAACAATATGCACAGAACATACCTGTCGGAGTGCTAAAAATGTACTGAAATGGTCAAGTTGAGGGACATTACCTTTCTCTCAGTAGTCTATTCATAAGATTCTATATTTGGAAGAAGGGATTTTGTTCATTTTAACAGCTTCTGAAGCTACCAAGAGTTCAAACACACAGTATTGTAACATGTTTGAATCGCACACCTCATAGGGAAAAGTGGTTGCTTTCACCACACATTGCATTCACATCAATAAACCATGATTTGCCTATCCTGGATTAATTATTAGAATTACTTTCTTTTTTATTGTTATATAATGTGAGCATAGTCATAGTGCTGAAGGGCATATTTGGCAGAATCACTGATAGTACCTCAAGCATTTAAAAGGGTCATATGATGCGATTTCAAGTTTTCCTTTCTCTTTGGAGTGTTATAAGCTGTTCGTGAATAGATAAGATCCCTAAAGTTGCAAAGACTAAAGTCTCAAACCCAAAGAGATATTCTTTATAAAAGTTAAGACTCGTCCACGCCCTCCTAAAACGCCTCGTTCAAACACGCCCCCACATGTCTACGTCACGATGTGGGAAGATTTGCATAACACCGCTCAAATGTATACGCAAAGAAAGAAGGCATAACTTTGATTCTCGCTGTAGTATTGTTGCCGCCGCCGACATGTCGTGGAGACGCTGTGTGTTTCGTTGTGAAAGAGAAACTGCTTTGTTTGGCCTTCCAAAAGAGGACACAATTAGAAATCAGTGGTTAAGTAGTATTTACAACACCGTTCCAGAACCGTTCAAACCAAATATTCAGATATGTACAACGCATTTTACGGAGGACGAGGACTGTTTGCTGGGGGAGTAGCCGCTGGTGTTCCGGTGAATTCAGTTCCCCTGTTGTTGTTTGTAATTTCTCCGATCACAAATGCAGACATGGTTTTATGTTTACACGGCGCGATGCAACGCAACGCGCAAAAAAACAGTATAAGTCATTATAATCAGTAATAGGGCTGCACGATTAATCGCATGCGATTTCTGACAAGATGCGCGTTAAATATCGCATGCGATTAATCGTGCAGCCCTAATCAGTAATTATGTCCCCACTGGATGCAACAAATACCTCGTTTCTAATGGGTTTTTATTATTTTTGTCTCATCGCGCCGGGACATGGCATCGCAGTATGGTAAGGGGAGTAACATTTCTGTCACATGCTTGAGGAATTCGGCAAATCACAACGCACTCGATAGCTGGCCAATCAGAACACACCTCGCTTTTTAGACCGATGAGCTTTGTAAAAATCGACACGTTTCAGAAAGGCGGGGCATAGAGAATAAACAATAATTACACCAAATACACAAAATAATGTTATTTTTAGCAACATCATATGACCCCTTTAAGGTCTTTCACATTTGAAATAATTAACACTGGGGGGTAATTCTAAAACCCAGGTAACTGGGATACTGGGTAATCTTATTTTACATTTCACACTATTCATACTTTACCTAGAATTAACAATTAATCCTGGTCATTCATAATGTGATGTGTCACACTGTACATTCCTAAACCCTGGGTTACTGTTATTATTTGCATTGTCAGTAGTGATGACTAGATAAACACAAAACCACATTTGGTGTGAAAATGGCTAGAATACAAAAAGTTGGATATGGAGCTGCACCAATATGAACCATACAGGGCCTTAAAAATTAAGAAAAATTAACCCCCCCCCCAAAAAAAAAACAGAATCTAAAATCATATTAAGATAAGTTTAATACATCTCGAGTTACAGGCACACAAATTTTGGAAAAATAATATTTATGACACTCAAACAGGTATGTCCTATACAATTGTTTTGATAGAGGGAAACAAGATGCATTCCTTGTTTCAACATTACTTATTCTTCAGACATTTTACACTAAGTATCAGCTGTATACAAAGTGACCAACATTTGGTTTGAGCACTTGGTCAAGCACTGAAAATGGGTAATATTCAACATTTTGAGACACATTGAGACCCCCATATCTCTGGTACTGAATGATGTAGGGCCTTGCAAATGAAAATTCCAAAAATTTATTAAGAACTAGGATCTAAATCATATTGCGATATCTTTAATAGAGCCAGACCGATGTATGGTTTTGCCGATTTTATCGGCCGATATGATCCTGTCGCAGATATATCGTATCGGCGAATATGCCACAGATATGCCGCCAATATGAATTTTTTTTTTTACAGAACATATAACGCAGATGAAATGCTTCTAAATGGTGTAATTACTTAATTTGTCCAGCAGAGCGCACTCCATTGTTTGCTACTGGCGACCCAGGTCACTGTAGTGTAGAGATGCGCGGAGTCCGCTACTTCAAATGATCCGCCCGGCACCTATATTTGATCGTCATATTACAATGATTCTAATTCTTAGTTTTGCATGATGATATGATGAATGGATGGTTAATTTTTAACAGCAGGAACATATAACGCAGATAAAATGCTTGAAATGGTGTAATTACTTAGTTTGTCCAGCAGAGCGCACTCCATTGTTTGCTACTGGCGACCCAGGTCACTGTAGTGTAGAGATGCGCGGAGTCCGCTACTTCAAATGATCCGCCCGGCACCTATATTTGATCGTCATATTACAATGATTCTAATTCTTAGTTTTGCATGATGATATGATGAATGGATGGTTAATTTTTAACAGCAGATGTTAGAGCTGATCTGCACATCACTGCATGCGTCTGCGGCGCATTAAAATAAAATAAAATAAATCAGCCTTTACGGCTCCACGGCCATCGTGGCAGTCAATGCTTGTGTTTGTAACAGCTGCGCCACATCCCAGAACTCATGCTTATCACATCGGTCACATCACATTTCCTAAGTCAGCATAGTTTGTCAGTGCAGTCAGTAACATTGCAGATTGAAAAGTTAGTATCTTTCTGCAGTCCAATAGGCGGCAGTGCGATGGTGGCTTGAGTCTGTTGGTGATTTAACGCTGCGTTGTCTCCTAGTTGGTGAGACGCAATGCTATAAAGTAAATAATGTCCCCGTCTTTTACTCTCACAATGAGCTTATCATACTCATTTGCTATGATATAGACTATTTTCTGTGAATATTAAACTGCAAAAAGTCTATTTAAATAAAAATCCTCATGTTCTGCATGTTCATTTGATTACCAGAAAGTACACAACACAGAATATGTGAAAAAAAATATTACTCATTATTATTATTATTTATTAATTTTTTATGTTTACATTTGGAAAAGCTGTGCTTCTTGCATAAACCTGCCCGTTGGTTTGGCAGTAGCTTGTTGCCCTACACAGTTAGCTTGTTTATTTTCAAGTTATATATTCTTCTGTTTGTGTTCTAAAGTTATTTATAATAAGTGAAGTGAAGTTTACTTTTAAGTGCACTGATGTCAGACTCGTTTTGGATAATAAAGTTGATTGTTAAATTGTTAAATACCCTGTCTCCATTACATATTTTTGTCACATAATTATGTGTTTGATCACCACATTTGAGTTATCATTGCTATAATTGTGTTTATGTATATATATATATATATATATTCTGTTTATGTATACTGTATTCTATATACAGTACCAGTCAAAAGTTTGGACACACGAATGGGAAGTGTGTCCAAACTTTTGACTGGTACTGTACTATAATATATACATAAAGAATATCGGCCGATATATCGATATCAGACTTTTTTTACTCCCTAATATAGGCATCGGCCCCAAAAAACCCATATCGGTCGGGCTCTAATCTTTAGTATTTCTTGAGTTAAAGGCATACAAACTTTGGAAAAAGAATATGGTTGCACTTTATTTTACTTTACTTTACTTTACTTTACTTTACTTTACGGTATGTGTACTTACATGTACTTACAGTGTACTTACCTAAGAAAGTACTGGTAATATAAGGTAAATACATGGGGTAGGGTTAGGTTTAGGGGTAGGTTCAGGGTTAGTATGTAGTTATTATGTAGTTATTGTAATTACTATAATAAGTACATAGTATGTACATGAGGAACAGGACTGTAAAATAAAGTGCTACCAAGAATATGTATGGCACTCAGACAGGTATGTTCAATGTAGTTGCTTTGACAGAAGAAAACGAGATACATCTCTAGTTTCAACATTATTTGTTCTTCAGACATTCCTCTTTAAAAGAAAAAAAAAAGGATCATATTTTTGCAAATTGACCCACATTTGGTTTTTGACCACTGAAAATATGTAGTGGTCAAACTTCACTTCACTTATTATAAATAACTTTAGAACACAAACAGAAGAATATATAACTTGAAAATATGAGCAATTTACTCCTGGAGCCATATTGAAACTCCAATATCTCTGGAATTGAACAATATAGGGCCTTAAAGGTGCCAAAAGTAAAGTTTGTTAAGACCCAATATCTAAAAGGGCATTAAGATATCTTTAAAACTTCTTGAGTTACAGGCATGCAAACTTTGGAGAAAAAACTTGAAAAGTGCTGTTTCCCCAATTTTTGAATGGTCACCATTGGCACATAATGCAACAAAAATAGCTAAAGTGAACAGATTTTACTAACAGACCTACCAATCTTTGTGTAAAAATAACACTACGATGCTGCCATCTTTCTGAAGTCATTTTTACCCCCTTGTAATTTGGCTCTGAATCTCAGGTGAAAATTGCCATTTTGACACCCTCTACAAAATAGTGGATTACTCAGCCAATATTCATACATGACATTTAATATTTTGGCTTTTGTTACTATACACGTCTGTCTGTCTTAAGAAAAAATATTAGCAAAATCAAAAATTTGAGCCGGGGACTTCTGGTTGAGTTGACACGAAATGACCCTATAACGTTTTACAAGACTATAACAGAAATTCACCCTTAATTTTGCAAAAGATGAATGGATTTTTTAAATCTCAATACTGGAAATATAACTGTGAATACAAACTATTTTGTTCTGCTGATTTGTCATTTTATCATGTTCTATTTGTTTTTCTCTGTAGGTCGGAGAGCTTATGGTTCCAGGTAGTCAGAGGCGAGTCCTGAAGGATGTCCTGCCTTTCTCAGCGTTCCTTATGGACTCCTTTGGACGCAGACATAATTACCTTCGCATTTCTCTCACTGAGAAATGTAACCTCCGCTGTAAGTCTCTCACATACTGTATGCTTTGTAAAAAGACATTTGCTTCTGCTATCAATGCTACTAGTCCAAATGAAGCCCTACTAAATAGTAATAAAAAGTATTAGTGATTAGTATTACAAATATTCTACTGTATTTTAACATTTTACCCAGAATCAGTACATAATGGTTTTATTAATTGGGTTACACTTTATTTTGATAGTCCACTTTAGACATTCTACTACCTGTAAGTAACTTTGCAACTACATGTCTACATTCTCATTAATTAGCAACTACATGTCTACTAACTCTCAGAGTAGACTGTTAGGTTAGGCTTAGGGTTAGTAGAATAAGTTGACCTATACTTGCAAAGTTTCTCATAGTCAGTATGTTGTATGTTGTGGACCCATCAAAATAAAGTGTTAGAAGATATTAAGCAGACAGTCTACTAATTCTCTAATGACTGCTAGTTGACATGTAGTTGCAAAGTTACTTACTGTTAGTAGAATGTCTAAAGTGGACTTTCAAAATAAAGTGTTATTATTAATTGTAGCAATAAGACACAAGAGGTTGTATATTACAGTAATTTTAGATGAAAGGTTAATATTAATACAAGTAAAAAAAAAAAAGGGTTAAAGTTGTATATGCATGGATCTTTGGTTCTTTGTTTCTCAATCATTTAGAATCAATAATGATGTGTAATGAAAGTCTTCTATTTCTCAGGTCAGTACTGTATGCCGCAGGAAGGGGTAACGCTCACCCCTCGCTCTCAGCTCCTAACAGCAGAGGAGTTGTTGATGTTAGCCAGACTCTTTGTACGAGAGGGGGTAAACAAGATACGACTGACTGGAGGAGAACCTCTCATTCGCCCAGACGTTCTGCCTATAATAGGTAATTTTTTCACCTTTTGTTAGTTTTGTAATTGCTTGTTACTTTGAATTATAACATAGTAGTGATATAGGCATTTCGAAAACTACATCTTATGTTGAATGCCGTAATGTCTGCAATTGTGAAATGACAATCAGTTCATACTATTAATGTATGGTGGGTATTTTAACTTGGAGAATAAGGGTAGAACCAAAATCAATTCATTTCAATGCACGTCATTTCAAGTCAATGTTGTGATGAGAATAGAGCTGCGTTTACACTGGCACAAAAAAAATCAGATTTTTTGCTCCATCTGACACAGATTGGAATTTGTTGCACACGTGTAAACACAAAAAATCTGCACAAGATCCGATTTTTTTCGCATCTGATCTGGGCCACTTCCAAATGTGGATTTTAATTGGATACATATCTACGGTGGCCGAGAAGTGCAAAACAAATCACAATAACAAAATAACAAATTACAAATGCAAATGCAAGTCTAAAAAGCTAAATAACAATTCAGAAAACACAACAACAATTCAGAAAACATTATAACAAGTCAGAAAACACAATGACAAATTCGAAAACAAAATAACAAGTCAGAAAACACAACGACAAATCAGACAAACCGGAAGAGGTAGGTATAGCTTGAGACAGCACCATTGGTTTGGGATTACTCACCGCTGACTGGACGAGACATCTGTCAATCAACGTATACAGGAAGAACCAGCCAAAGAACAGCAGAGTCGTGGTAGAAAGTTCGGAGATGGTATTAAAGTAGCTCAGTTTAAATGTATTGTATGAATTGCCCTTACTATGGAATAAAAAATACGGAGTGTCTATTTACACTTAGTGCAAATAGCCCGCCTTGTTGGCAGTAATTCCGCTCTCCAACGTGTGATTGGGAATTAACCATTTAAAAGCTGCTGTACATTATCAACTCCAGTGGCGCAGATGGTTAAGCGCGTGACGTTGGCTTTTTGATGCGATCGACCCGGTTCGATCCCACCTTTTGCCGAACTTTTTTTTCTCCCTTTTCAAATCTCGTATCACATCGTAAAGGCATTTATTTTCAATAAAAATTAAGGAAATAATCAAAAAGTTGAAAAGAAAGTATCAGGTAGGGTTAGGGTAAGTGTAGGGAGGTCTTTATTGTACCAATAAAGTGGCATCCATTTAATAATTGAAATTAAAATTATAATTTACACTCAATATGTTATTATTGCATACTGTTTTATAATGTACTACAATACTGAAGTGCAGATAATTGCCACTATTTGCAACAAGTAGTATACATAGAATTCCTGCTATTTTAACATAGTGTAAGCTAACATTAGTGTAAATAGCATATTGCTAAAAATACTGCTATTTTCACTTAGTGTAAATAGAATCCATTGCTAATATGAGATTTGAAAAGGGAGGAAAAAAAAGTTCGGCAAAAGGTGGGATCAAACCCAGGTCGATCGCATCAAATAGCCGACAACACGAGCTTATCCATCTGCGCCACTGGAGCTGATTTTTTTATAGCCACTTTTAAAGTGTTGACTAGCCCAATCACACGTTGCAGGGCGGAATTACTACACATAGCCTCTGCCAACAAGGCGGGCTATTTGCACTAAGTGTTATCGGGTTATCATACCGTAACATTTGCATATCTACGTTTTTTTTTTTTAAATGAATGAAAAAAACAATCTCACCCGCGCATATGCAACATATTTCCACTAGCTGCTTCACAAAACGAACGCGGGATTGTCCTTGAGGACGATCCAATTAGCAAAGAAAGTGGACTCTGCAAAAGCAGGCATTACATCCAACATGTTTGCTCATATTCCCTGTGTGCGTCATATACACCATCCCTGTGTGCGGATAAAGGCGTGTCGCATTAATAACAAGTTATAAGTTAAGGCCGTATGATTTCCGTGATGCAGAGGGAATCCCGGTGCAGTCGTGAACATGGAATTTACAGTAGGCTATACCGAGGATGTCACGTAAAACGCGCAGTCTTATCGATGGATAAATCAAAAGTAGATATGTGTCTGAATATTAAAGCACAAAGAGACTGCTATATGAATAATCTGCTTGTTTCTGCACGTCTCTGAGTGGCGCCGTTTTACTACATACTGTAGTACGCATGCATGACACGTATTTTCAGCATCTACATAAACATGAACACCAGAGCTGCTTTGAAAGAAAAACCATTGTCAAATACTGAATCTCAAAGGTCCGCTACAACCCTTCAAAATAAAAGTTCGATTTAACTTGTAATTATGACTGAAATATATTAGCATTGTACAATGTACTTCAAAGTTATAACAATAATACTATTCAATAATAATACAACAATAATAATAACATCAATAATTATATTCTTCATATTAATGAATTTAAGCATGATTTTTAAGGAATATCATGTTTGTCCATGTTTTAACTTAGTATACCTCTGTTGTGCAGCACTTTGCCTTAAAATGTTTAAAATCTAAAAGTGTGATATAGACATACATAAGGTGTATAGCTTTATTTTTTTTGTTTTTTTCAAATGAAATGAAATTTATTTATTTATTTTCAGAAGGGAGACTTCAATAGTATACTTTCATTAAAATGGTTTCAAGTTTGTTGTAATAAAGGATTTGTTCACTCAAATAACTTGTTCTTATTCTTTTAAGAGTCATTGTTACTAATAAGAATGATTGTTTAATATATACCGTGGAACCGTGATATTTTCTGAGACGATTATCATACCGTGAAAATCTCATACCGTTACAACCCTACTGCCTATAAAGACAGCATTTTAATGTCTGCGTGCTGTATATGCCCTTGCATTTTATTGAGGCGGGAACTTTATATGTAAGAAATTGCGCAACATTCAGGACCTGGTTTTCAACCCCTGCCCCATGAATTTTAGGCTATAAATGCAATAGCTTTGCTACTTAAACCTACATTATATTTTTCAGCAATGAGGTGATAACCATGATAACTGAGGTGATAACTGTTTTTGTAATTAAACCAACAAGCTTCACTATTAGGCTACACACTCGTGCGTTCTCTCTCTCTCTCTTTCTCACGTTAATTCATTTAAATTCATTCAATCTTACAGCACTACTTTATTTCACTTCAGAATTCTACATCTAACGAGCTGTAGATAAAATAACAAATGAAAATTGCCATTATTTTCCAGTCTTTATCTATTCAGTCATATTTTGTGCTGCTAAACATCCATGACAGCTGTTGTCCATACTATTAATGAGGAAAAAAAATTAACTTAAATGATTTTAGCAAATGGCTGCAATATAACAAAGAGTGAAAAATTGAAGGGGGTCTGAATACTTTCCGTACCCACTGTACATAATTTTAATAGCACAGCCATTCAAAACCTGAGGGCCAACTACCATGTTCATAGTAAAGAGATCACTGATGGGCGGGAATTAATGTAAACACATATTGGATCCCAGTCGTGTCTAAAGTGAATGTAAACTGGCGGGCCAAAAAAATCGGATATGGTCAAAAGATCGGATCTGTGCATTAAGACTTGCAGTGTAAATGCAGCCTAGGACTGATAATAATTTTGTACGTCACTGATCATGTGCTGAATTTTTTACACTTTATTCTACATAACTTGCATGACAAAACAATGTAACACTCAGAAACACTAATTAAACTTAGAATTTTTTGCATAGTTATCTTTTTTCTTTCTTTCTGAAAGCGGAACTGAGGAAGTTGGAGGGTCTACAGACCATTGCAGTCACCACAAATGGGATGAATTTGACCCGACTGTTGCCCAGTCTAAAGAAGGCTGGAGTGGATCTACTCAACATCAGTCTAGACACTCTGGTCCCTGCAAAATTTGAGTTCATCGCTAGACGAAAAGGTACTAGGTCCTGTTGAGCTCCAAAATGGTTTATAAACTCCAAAAGTTTATATTCCTCCAGGACGGATAGATAGGTGCAGAAAGAAAGCATAAGGTGTGTCGTGGAAATTCTCAATACAAATACATCTTACTGATGACAAAACTAATCTGACTTCTCTACCATGGCACGTACAACTCAGACAACCTCCAGTTGTCAATAACATTATACAATACCAGTACAATACAGTACTATGCTTCCCTTACCGAAGTATGGTGATGGCGTCCCGTCAAGAAGCTACTATCACTACCTCAAACCACACATGAGCACCAGGCCTTTAGCATGTATACACTCTCACCGCCCTTCTTCATTAATTATTAATAACAACTCTTGAGTATTACAGCCTCACCCCGAGTGGGGGTCTATAGTCTTCCAACACTATCACTGTTCCTGCTGTGTTCCTCTGAGGGTAGAATCTTTAGTACTTCTATTCCTCAGCTGCGCAACATATACCAGACATGACTCCAAAGTTGATCTTTACAGGAATAAAAGTTTATTCACGGCCGGGAACCCACTGGTCACAACAACCAAGAGAGACTCCCTGAACAGAAAGATACATGAACATGTATACCTTGCAGTTGAGTAAAAAGCAGTGTCACTCAAGTCTTCTTCACTGTAATTGGTTGTACTTATCTTTGTCATATGACTATTAGCTCTACTGTTTTAAGCACTTTTAGGTAAGTATAGATTCTTTAATCATAGATACATGGTCTTTGACCTGAGTATCCTAAGTCTGCACTTTTCTGAACATTGAACACACTCCCTTGACTGCTTTTGAAGCCATTACATAAAACATTTCCATCACAGGTGTCATGGATGAAGAAATGTAGATCGTCTTGAGTCTTGAAGCATAAAGGTAGCAGCAGAACATTGAGAAAGTGTATGAAGCAGTTTAGTTCCATTGTTGATCTCAAAAGGCTGAAAATAATTGACGAAAGGATTATGAAAATGTACAGTTTCATTTGAAATTGCTCCATGTTCATGTTTCATAATTTTCTTTTATTACCAATTTGAGTCTATTACATTATTGGGTCAAAACATGTAACTAAATTAATATGTTCTAATCCAATGTTGTCCAGTAAAACTTTTGTTAAGGATTTGAGAGGTAGATGATCTTTTAAACATCTATTCATTAACTTTTAATGCCAAGCTGTATAAGCTGCTGACCTTTTTTTAGTTTGTTCATATTATATACACAAAATAAACACTTATATACAGTCACACTAGCACAAAAGATTTGGTTGCCAAAATGTTGGTGTGTCGCTACCTTCAATATGTGCAATATGTTTAAATGATGCTTAATATTGGTACCTCTTGCAGGGTTTCATAAAGTGATGGAGGGCATTGAAAAGGCTATTGAAATGGGCTACAATCCAGTCAAGGTATTTTACCTGCCTCAAAACATCTGAATTGTTAATCCCTTTTGATGTATGAAATGGTTTATGTCTCAGAAAGTGTCAAATGCTAGAGCTCTAAAACCACTTTAGGGCATTTCTTACCACCTTTCTGGCAACACCTGAAACAGCTTGTCATTAATATTCATAATTTGTCTTTGTGTCAGTTATTCGCTCATTGTGGTAAAGTGTTGTCTCTCTTCTCAGGTGAACTGTGTGGTCATGAGAGGTTTGAATGAAGATGAGTTGATTGACTTTGTGTCGCTGACAGAGAGGAAACCATTTGATGTGAGATTCATAGAGTACATGCCTTTTGATGGTAAGATTGTTATCTGAAGTCAAATAGAGAAATCTACGTCATACACTTGTTAGCCCATCTTACAGGTTGTAGTATAATTGGCACAGTTGTAAAGGTTGCAGTTTCTGCCCCAGTTCTTTAATCGCATTAGTAGTGCAGATTATTCTCTTTCCAGGTCAGTGAGACTTAGTGTACCTCAGGATTTATATTCATAACATGTTATCGCAGTCCACATTCTGTTGATATTTTAGGTGAAGTCATGTTCCTTCACTACTAAACAGGTTTAACAACAATGTGCAGAAACAAGTTTCAACTCCTTTTACTGGATAACAGTGACAATGAAGAGTTTAGAGACATTCAATAGATTTCTGGGTAACACTTTATTTCGATAGTCCACTTTAGACATTCTATTAACAGCAAGTAACTTTGCAACTACATGTCAACTAGCAGTTAGTAGAGTATTAGTAGACTGTCTGCTTAATATCTTCTAACACTTTCTCTGTCAACTTATTCTACTAACCCTAAACCTACCCTAACAGTCTACTCTGAGAGTTAGTAGACATGTAGTTGCAAATTAATGAGAATTAGTTGACATGTAGTTGACATGTAGTTACAAAGTTACTTATAGTTAGTAGAATGTCTAAAGTGGACTATCGAAATAAAGTGTAACCGATTTCTGTTTGTGAGCCTGGAAGAGAGAGATTTTCTGAAGCCAGTTGCAGAAGCTGATATGGTGTCACTGTTATAGTTTTTTGCCCTGAGGGCCAATACTACAGCAATCACTCCAGTAACAACTGATTAGATACTGTGAATAATGGAGCCGTTTGTGTAGTATGCAGACTCATCTAACCTCACTTCAACTGACTCAAAGTGAAACTCTGAATGACTACAGGGAAAAAATGTAATAATTAAACATACTGTAGAATCCATCTTAAACTATGAAAAGATGTTGTGTTTTCATTGCACTTTTTCTTGGTACGTTTAAGAAAGATTGAGATTAGCACTGGAAAAAAAGTTTAAAATTTGTAGTGAAACACTTCAAGATTGATTTAAGTATTAATATCTCTTCACATGGGACACCTTTTTAAGATTTATTTTAAAATCGTCTTAATAATCTGCCATTTAATTCATGTTTCGAAAAGAAAAAAAGAAGAAGAACAACAACAAAAATTTCTTCATTCAAGAATGTAAAGCAGCTGAATGTTGTTTAAGTACCTCTGCACATTGCCTGTCTCTGTAGGTAACAGATGGAATTTCAAGATGATGGTGAGCTATCAGGAGATGCTGGACTTTATAAAGCAAAAATGGCCCAATCTGGTTCCTGTGCCTGGAGAGGAAACGGATACAGCCAAGGTCAGCTCAGCTCCAGACTGCTAAATAAATCATTGGCCATGAATCATTCTCAATGTTAAATTCTCATTGGCACTAATTTAAATGTTCGGTTTTGAGGGTCAAGTTGTTGCAGTTTTTATTTATTGCTCGTAAATGTTGGACATTTCTGTAACGTGTAATGTTATTAAAGTGCCCCTATTATGTATTTTTGAAAATTACCTTTCATGCAGTGTGCAACACAGCTCTAAGTGAATGAAAACATCTTGCAAAGTTTTAAATCTAAAAGTGCACTGTGTATAAAGTTATTGTTTCTTAAAAGAAAGAGTCGACGCTGAATCATTGAAAACGAGTCGTTTTTAAAACGAATCCCAAGCTGTTTCATGTTGACGTCAACATGAAACATTAGCATATTGCCCGCCCACTTATTGGTCTTTTCGCGTTGGTCTGAATGAAAATACAAATTTATTATTTGCCACTAGGTGTTGCTTTTGGAGCGGTAAAAATAGAGGTTTCCATATTATAAGACAATGAAAGTGTTTTTTGACCTTGCATGCATGTCAGCCTGTTGTTGGGGACTCCCAAATCCAAAATATGAACTTTTCATTACCCATAATAGGGGCACTTTAATAGTCCAAGAGCCTTCAATAAAAGCATTCGTTTTGTAATCTCGCGTCAAGGCTGTAGAATCACATCAGCGGATAAGCCCTCGTGTGTGTTTCTGTGTTGTCTGCTTACAGGCGTTTAGAGTACCAGGATTTCGGGGCCAGCTGGGCTTCATTACCTCCATGTCAGACAATTTCTGTGGCTCCTGTAACCGCCTGCGCATTACGGCTGATGGCAACCTTAAGGTAAATGTTGTTTGTGTGTGTGATGTTTTTCAGTTCAGCTGTCTGATCTGTGATGGTTTGTTTTTCTATATGTGCCTGTGTTGGTACGCCATTAGGTTTGTTTGTTTGGAAATTCAGAGGTGTCTTTGAGGGATTTTCTGCGCTCTGGAGCAACTGAAGAGGAACTACTGCACATCATAGGGGCAGCAATCGGGAGGAAGAAGAAACAGCATGCGGGTAAAGACAAACACACTCTGATATATCACACCAACTGTCTGATTCCCAAATACAACAAAATAAAATACATTTAGTATCAACATTCAGGTCATGTATAATTCATAATTTATTTACTTAACTGTTTTTCTGTGCAGGGATGTTCAATATTTCTCAGATGAAGAACAGGCCAATGATCCTCATTGGTGGGTGATGTGGCTGTACGTAATACGCTTCCCATCTCCCTCACTATATCATCAACTGGGGTGTGCCATAGTGTTGAATATCTCATTATTTTCTAAAATTTTGTCTAAGGATAATCAGACAATATTTTGCAGTATTTTGTTTTTGTGCTGGTAATTTGACTGGTTTGTGCCTGTTATGGACAGCTGACTGCCAAAGCTTTTCATATTCTTCATATTCTGTGCGGTGGTTAGTTCACAGCAGTGACAGAAATTACAGAAATGTTGCCACCCTAAATGGATTTTTCCAGGGGCATTTTTACCATTGTTACCAATCAAATGAAATCAGTATCAGCAAAATCCATTTTTGCACTGCCGAAATGGCAGAGAAACTACATAATTTAGGTGTAGCATGTAGCAGCATTAAGATGTATTTACACAGCAGTTACAATTGCATAAGTAATACTGAGATAAAGTGTGCTCAATAATGTCAGCTTCACCATTGTCACTGTTTTTCTCAGTCGCATTGGTGCATTTCTCCAGTCATCCTTAATATTTGCAAAGAAGTATGTGCATTTCTCAAAACAATTCGTACAAACAGCGTCACACAATGGTTTACCTGCAACTTACTCAAAACCTTTAGTTCATCTCTCAAAAGTATTTGTCAATGAACTTCTCAGTGCCATCAGAATGAAAAGTCCTTGTGTCATTGTTCACAAACAAGATAGTCAAAATGCTTAGTCATGTTGTCAATATAACAGTGCACTCTGTTAGTATTACCTGATGTAAACTATGGCAACAGTTTTGAATGTATTGAAATGCAGAAAGCTGCACTTCTTATGTATGCCATATATCCATTTCAAAAGTACACATTTACACATTACTGTATGTGGGATATTGATTGAAACAGACTGGATATGATTCATAGTTACACTTTTACTAGTGGTCTGACAAAAAAACAACAACAACCTTGCAATGTCATTGTGATAAAGAGAAGACAAATATGGGCACAAAGGTGAAAATACAAAATTAGAAAGGCAAACACAGGAAACATCCCTTAGGCAGAACTTCGCTTTTGCATGTGTAGAAAATGTGTAGAAAATATGCTTGGCAGTTTATGACAACTTGATTAACCATTTTGCATTTAATGACTTATACAGTGAACTAATGACTAGATGTTTTGAGGGGTAAGACTATTGCACAGAGAACTATAGCCTATAATACATTTTGAGCAACATGACATTAGCAACTAATTATGTAGGAAACAGCAGACAAATGTACGTAATCAATTGCATGAATGTACCAAAGCAATTGCATCTTGTTCAAAAGAAAGAGAAACTGCTTTTATGATGTGCACAACGCGACTAGATGATGTGGAGGTTGAACAAGTAGATTTGAGAATTTAATTTCTGATCTGAGAAATGCACCAAAGCGGTGTCTGAGAAAAACTGTATAACAAAAACTATATTATTCTACATGATACCTATTGCACACCCCTATCAATAAGCAACATGTTTCATATATGTATTGTTTATCACCCACCCGCTTAGGTTAATGTGTATTCATTCACCAAATTTTCAGCTGTGGAGGATTCAAGTTTAGAAAATATTGTACTGTTGAATATGTGTGCCCTTGTCTACAGGTAGAGAATGCAACTGGCTGCTGTCGGTACCTCTGTTTAGAGGCAGTCAGAGGCAGCCTCTTCCTCTGATCCACTGCATGGATTCAGCAGCCTCTGCTACAACTCACTCATTAACAAATTCTGTTCAACACTTTCGTGGTAATGCCCATCAGGACTACACAAGCACTTTTGTTAATGATACACTAGGTTTGACTCTTTGTAAAAAGCATAATCGACCAAGGTTTCGTTCTATGAAAAGATTGAACAATCAAAGGCAAAGTCGTGCAGCCTCAGAGGCACTTTGCAGTGAAGTGATGACCGGATCTTATCATCACGTGAATGCTGGTGCCTTAAAAAAACCCACAGCTTCAACTCTTCATACGCACATTTTGCGCTGGGGGTCTCAGCCACCACAGCTACAGTCCAAAACATTTCCTCCCGTCATCTTTCTGAGTGCACTACTGTCAACGTCCAAATGTAGAGATTCAGCTCTGCAGTTTGCACGGCACTACCGCAGCAAAACCCCTGAATGTGGGTTTGATTTGAAAACACCACATACAGATGCACAGTCCTCCGGCCTTGATGGAACCTCTGATCAGTTGACCCACACTGATGCACAGGGTAAAGCCTCCATGGTCAACGTGGGCGATAAGGCGGTAACTTGTCGCACAGCCATGGCTTGTGGCAAGGTCGTCCTGGGCCCAAAAGCTTTTAATTTGGTGCGTGCCAATCAGCTTGCCAAGGGCGATGCACTAGTGGTAGCACAGCTAGCGGGCATCATGGGTGCCAAGCAGACCTCATCTCTCATTCCCCTCTGCCACCCGCTTCCTCTCGACCACGCCTCCGTTACCATAGAGCTGCTGGAGGAAGAACATGCTGTCATCGTCAAGGCAACCTGCCAAACCATGGGCCGCACAGGAGTGGAGATGGAGGCCCTGACCGCCGTTGCGGTGGCTACACTAACCCTCTATGACATGTGCAAGTCAGTCAGCCATGACATTCTTATTACTGACATCAAGTTGCTCAGCAAGACGGGCGGACAGAGAGGTGAATTTCATTGGTCACCTGATTCCTAAAGAACGCATAAACCGCTGGCTTAATCTCACCTGTTTGAATGTCGCTACAGTATTTATCTTTTTAGAATGACACCAGTTTTCTGTAACAAAATGTGCCTTCGCATGCCTCTATAGTTAATCTACTTATTGTCATTTTTACTATTCCTTTGTCCATTCCAAGCATGAAATGTAACTTACTCAAGACCTGACATATAAAGAATACTTTATTTCAGTCTATATTTATTTTGATAATGATAATGCAGCTAATGATACTGCATTTCGAAAGGTTGTCACAGTTTTCACCATTTGAGCAAACTTATATTTGCACTGAAAAGTGTTTGCATAAATGAGCAAAACCAAGCAGCAAATGTTTATCCTGTGAGTGAACTATCCCTTGAAACTAAAACACAACCCACCTGACAGTGTGCAGGTATCCAAAATGCAATTTTATAGAGTGCTGCAGGGTTTACACATTTTGCAGGACAACAACCAGGAATAAGCATTTTAGCATGTCTGGTTCCTTTTTTTTCTTTTTAAATAAAGACTGAAAGTCTTGTTGGAAGCTTGTTTATAGTCTTTGTTTAGCTTTTTACTTTTGCAGATTGTATTTAGGATTTAAAAAGTTGTTAAAGTTGTGTGAGGATTATTGTGATGATGTAAGAATCAAACTTTTGTTGTTTATGGTTTGGCCTACAAAAATATGTCATCACTGTAGCACTCTATTCAAAAGGCTTGCATTGACAATTCGCTATTGGCCTAAATACTGTTACAGTATTTTCTTATAAAACATCCACTTTCTTTTAGATTACATTATTTCTGGTTTTGTGTACACTGTTTTTGTGTAGTCTTTCATGTAACGAGCAGAACTAATTCATTACAGTATTTGTGACAGTAGTTGTATAAACTAACATTCTGCTTGTTTCATGAACGAGGCCCATATTTAATAAAATAATGTTTTTTGTATTCATTTAAAGTTTTTCAAAAAAGTGTTTTTGAAATGGAATACTTTCATGATGTCCTGCTACAAAAATTCACCCTGTGACTTGTCTGAACAAACAAGAATACAGTGAAAAGATTAATCACCTTCATTGTTATTTTTCTTTTATACATAAAGCTGAAATCACTAAATCTGAACATTTGTCAGAATGCTGTTCATCATAATTTTCTAATATAATTGATGTTGACAATGTGTAATATGTTCCATGTCTAAACTGCAATAGTTGGTTTGGCTAAAATGTTTGAATGATGGATGTGTTTGGTAGCCAGAGACTTAATTTTTATTTATTTCTTTTTTGGTCTTGGTCAATTGTAACGGACATCGATTAAACTAATTTAAATAATGGCCATGTTTAAAACTGTGATGTGCTAGAGACTTCTGTATGTTGGACCAGAAGTTGCTGTTTGATTGGTCAGATTTATAACTGGTTCTTTCTGTGATCAGAAGAGAACAGTGTTGCACCATGAGAAACATCTAATGCAACCATGAGAACTGCCATTACTAAATGGATGACTGTCTGCCTAGTATATTCATAGTACAAAGACATATATGGGATTTAAGAGCCAGCTGTACAGAAGTGTAACCCAAAGTAAAGAATTTACCCAGATGTCATTGAAACAAGTTTATTTTTACCCTACAAAATGTCACATGGAAAGGGGGTCAGGTGGAGGGGTTGAGGGTCGGACCATAAACAAACATATATATAAATGAAAGGCTTGTCATTCTCATACAAACTATCTAACAAATATTAAATCACAATATAGTTATATCATTTCTTTCATAGTGCTGTGTATACATACAAAATATAGCAAAATAACTAAGCCAAATAAATAGAGCTTCAATTTACAGGGGGAAAGAAAAATCCTCATTCCACATTCCTCAAACTTCAGTTTCACCTTTTTTTTAATTCTTTTTTTTCACATGACCATGATGGTGTACAAAATATGTTGAGAACTATACATCTATTATGTGAGGCCCTTGTCAAATCAACCTTTAAAATGGTGCACTTGGCACAAATACAACCTGTCTAAATCATAGGTGGAGCATTCCATGAACACATTCAAAGTGTGATGCGTTTCTTGTCACAGATAATAATACACCAATATATGATCAGAGAACCACTCCTATGCCCCACTCGAGCCAATAGGGAAAACATCAAGTGCCAAACAGAAGTGGGAGGCAAAACATATTTCAAAAATATCTAAAATATAAAAGTGAGTTTAGGCAGTTGGCATGGTGCTTTCAGATGCAGTCTTATATATTTATCTTGTTGTAATGTACCAAAGATAATCAGTTTTCTTTACCATTCATACTACAGTTCATATCTATCTATATTCAATAATCAAAGAGCTGGAAAGGACAGTTTTATAAAACAATGGAACACAGATTATTGGGTAAATTTACATCTAATCTATGTAGGCCTGATTCCTTAAAGGGGTCATATGATACGATTTAAATTTTTCCTTTCTCTTTGGAGTGTTACAAGCTCTTGGTGCATAAAGAAGATCTGTAAAGTTGCAAAGACTAAAGTCTCAAATCCAAAGAGATATTCTTTATAAAAG